TATCACAGTGGTTAAAGCTTCGACAGGCCGAACACCCATGCATAGTCACTACGTGTTCAACGTGTGAAGGTCAGTTCTGTTGTATAATGCCTTGATAGTGTTGGAATATTGCGGGAAAATCGTAAAAACAACCTCACTCAGTCTTTGATACACTTTTAATTTTATTTTTTTTCAAGAACCAAATGCGTTTCATCGCAACGCTAACATCACATTATCGGACGCCCAACTTGTTGGTGACTTTGCACGGCTGAAACGGGTCTTTCAAGGTACATCCTATAAGTCCAGCTTAATCATTGGACCAGATGTGGCTGGACTTCGTGTGGCTCTGGTTGCAGGGTACGTGCCTTTCATTTCCACATACCTGACTGAAGATCTTTCTGATCCGTGAAAATGCGGGTTAGAATTGGTCTTCAGCATCCTATACTTGCCGTAAGCGGCGACTAACAGAATCGGGTGATCAGACTCAACTTGGTTGACACATATCATCGTATCCCAATTGGGTGGATCAGTGTTCATAATGTTGATCCCAGGATTTTCTGGTCCAGACTCCATTATTTACATACTGCCGCCACATAGGTGGAATATTGCTGAGTGCAGCATTAAGCAACAAACAAATTAACAAACGAACACTTTTCTGTCCATACAAATAATAATTCCTTGTCATGGATATAATTCGTAGGCTAGGTGCGACATTCTAGGTGTAATCGTCGTCACTTTAAGACCCGGATTCGATTTCCCTCGTGTAGAACGTGGGAAGCCTAAATTCGGGTGTCCCACGCCGTGACGGTGCTGCAATATGAAAAGCGGCGTAAAACCACACACACATTTCTTGTATCTACGACCTTTACATTCTCCCGCACAATCCATTACCACCATATCAAATAAACCTCGATGACATTTATACATGTATTTCATTTTTGTAAAAATTAAAGAATAGATGAGTTTCATGCATACTGGGATTAGACAAACAGTACCCTTTGAGTGATCTGTCATCAACTATACACATGAAGCTATGGCGTACCTGGGACGTGGTAACATTCGTCTACCGAATTACAACATTCAAGGCCTCAGTAAAGCTTTCAAGAAGTTGTATGGTAGACATGTGGAGGACATTTCCAAATCTGATGCATCACTGACAAAAATGATGTCCGATGTAATTCTCTATTATGATTATAACAAACGTTCCCGAATTATTTCCGGTGAACAATTGACTAGACTTAGCATATGTTTATGACGGGTGCCGCCGGTGGGGCAGGATACGCCCACCTTAACACAAACACCCGGTATCATCACTATTTCATAGTGATTCATAAACACATGCTCTGTCACCGTATCGCATGGGGACAATCACTGGACTATGTGGTTCAGACCCGATTTGTTTACAAACAACATCATACAGCTGTAATACTGCTGAAACAAATATCTGCTTATGATACAGTCACAACTGTACAATCGACTCTGATTTGGACAGAGATTTCTTATGAATAAAAGGGTTTTGTCGCTTCTATCTACTTGTATATTGCAGATTTTTGTCCCATGGTGGAGCAAGTGTCGTAGACGTCGTGAGTTTCCATCAGTAAGTAAGAAAGCCGTAACTGACTCTGTTCACTTCTTTTCACACGACGTATAAGTATATAAAGCAACATAGGGTAACCCACACATAAACCGTTAAGCGACTCGTAAGCTTTAATCAGGAACTGGTTCTACAAATATTAACTCGTAATTATTCATTTTTCTTTCTTTCTTAGTAGTTTTAGTAGTAGCAGCAGCAGCAGCAGCAGCAGTAGCAGTAGCAGTAGTAGTAGTAGTAGTAGTAGTAGTAGCAGCAGTAGTAGTAGTAGTAGTAGTAGTAGTAGCAGCAGTAGCAGTAGTAGTTTTTCCTTGGTTTCAGCTTTTGTATCAATTAGCGCTAAGTACTAGTTACATTTAATCAAATTAATTTCATGGTGGGTAATTATTTCATTCCTGAAACACATGTATAACATTCATCCGACTTTGACATGTTTCTCCGCCTGTTTTAATAACTTCAGTCATGACTAAAAGCATTATTCAATTTGATTGGTTTCAGATTATTCAGTCTTGAATTTTCAGTGAAACATACCCCACTGGGCTTAAAGTTATAACTGCAGGCCATTCTGACAGGATGGTTCACTGAAATTCGCTGATTGATTGTTGTAGGTGCTACATATGTCTGATATTCCCAATGCATCATTATCAAGAGGATGCCACCGTACCAACCCCACCCCTACACAAACCAACCACATCCCCTGAGGAAGGTTTGGTTTAGTGGGTTGGTCCTTTTTAAAAAATTAAAAACTATCCTTGAAAAATTGACATTTGATCCATCAGCATGGAATGGGTAAAACCAGAGAAGTGTGCGTCGTGTACATGCACGCAAGATATATATACATGAACAACTGGTCGGTTTCATACTTACAGGCAATGGATCAAAGGTACTATTGTCAATCAGTCCATAGGTTGCTGCATAGAAATCCTGTCTGAGAACTGCTTTCAACCCCATCCTGGCAGCAATACCAAGCTTGTCCAGCCACCTGGACAGTTTACACTTTCAAAAGGTGGTGTAGAAGTTGTATTTGTACCTGTATGTTATTTCACTTAATTGACGCTATCTTAGGCTATCTAAATAGATATCACTTATAAAGAATTATCATGGACTACCATCTGTCATCATTATGCGAGTATATTGTATGTTGTATATTTTGTGTTGATGTTTTACTCACAGAAACCCAGCGACATATCTATCGGAGATTCCCGGAGCCCCGCCATGATAAAAGGAGGATGTCTCTCCCAGCCAGACTGGAGTAAGTGGGTTGGTGCGTTGTGTCACACCATCGCTGTCTGTATCGGCTGATGAATAGAGACTATATTTCAGAAGGTCATTTTCAAGTCATGTTCATGTACTAAATGTGGACTCTGGTATTATACATGAACTGATTGATCTTTCAGTATGCCAAGGACGTATTGATGGAACTCTATCGAAGAGTGTAAGAAATCAGATTAGAATATTTAACCACACATGAACAAGTATTTGAGCAGTGTAGAACAATTAATGAATATCAAAATCAATTGCACCTACTGGTGAAACGTTATTCTGTCCACGGCCCTGGATAGTTATTCTATACTAGCTGCCACGCCTGCCATGATGTGATTCAACAATTGATTATAACAGGCTATATTTCAGACGGTCATTTTCATGTAACAAATGTGGACTCTAGTAATTAGACATTAATTAGTTGATCTTTCAGTAAGTCAAGGACACATTATATGAAACTGTATGAAAGTATGAAAGAAATAAGATTGGAATATTTAACCAAACAGAAAACGTATTTAAGTAATAGCAAACAATTCATGAATATCAAATATAACTGCACGTACTGGTGAAAGGTTATTCTGTCCACGGCCTTGTCTCCTCCTCCTGTGAAGAAACTGAGGAAATAAAGAAGAAGGACCTGGGAAGTCTGCGTGATTAACTGTAAAATATTAGGTGTTCATGTGTCGATTATCGAGCATTATGGTAATAAATGATAGGCATGTATTGTAGTGCCACAGTTGTGGCAATGTAAACTGTGGTCAAGATTCCATCACATGCCAAGGCTGGATATGGAGGATGGACATAAAAAACACCGAAACAGACACTCTTGATACAATAGAAAGTGTCGTATCTCTCTGGATTAGACCGTAGATGTTTGAGAAGATTTTAGATTACAACTGATTCCAAAAGCATTAATACATAGTAACCTCCACACCACTGATTACATTAGATGGTAAAATACATTTCCCATTAGTAATTCGTGTTCCAACACATGAACGTCTACTGAAACCTTACAGAAGCAATTTCAAATTCCTACAACATCGTTTAATAGATTACACAGCTGCATTACAACAACAGAAACTTGTAAATACTTACATTTTCAAGCAATTTGTGTGAATAGTTTTCGAGAACACTTGATGTCATCACTAAATTTCAGTGGTTCATTCATAAAGTTGTCACTGTTATTTCGCACTTTTACCTGAGGGATTATGTTTCTAAGGATAGCCAAGATGGGATATTCCTTTGCACTTACGTTTTCTATGCACTGAGAAAATGCTGGCCTACCGCACTGATAACATCTATGAAATACTTTTGGAAAAATAGTTAGACAATAAATATGCATCCCCATGATAAAGTGTGCTCCCCTTCTTCCACATTAGTTTCTTTCAATACATGTGAATCGGAATTTCTGCTAGGGTTGGTAAAATCAAAACAAGGTAATATGATTTGGCCAAAAAAAGTGACCAAATACGTTTGAGTGGTTGACATGCCGGAAATAGTCATACAAGAGAGGGGTAAGAACGCCTCATTTGTTTCATACTTAGGTCTTTGCATACACATTCAGAGTATAATCAACTCTCCTAAAGGCTGTGTGACAAGTGGGATGTCTTCAACTTTCCGACACTCAAATTTCCAGCAGCTCCAGACATTGTTTTTTGTTTACATTTGGGAACTTTTGAGGCAGAATCGAGCATGCTGTTTTGCCATGATTTCAAAGAGTGTCACAGGACGTTTGGATGACAAAACAACTATCATGACATGGATGGAATCTTGCAATCAACTTTCCTCACGAGAGAGGTATCCTGTGAATGTAGAAAGGGTTTAATTGTTTCTATTTGTAGGGTTTATTTCAGATTATTACGGTCAATGAAGCTTTGTGTTATTCTCGTTAGCGTTGGTATATCATTTTCACAAATAATGTCAAAAGCGTTCATCATGATGTCTTATAGGAAGTGAGACCTGTTTTGAATGGGAGAGATTCAATGCTACATACATATTCATATGGCTCACCCACGGATTCTGGGTACATTCTGTAGATGCAAGGACAATTATACAAATGATAAGCTGACTGGTTACAATGTATTATATAGATGTTGTGGTTCACTCTTATCGTTATAAGGTGGTTCAGCTCCATATAACCTGTATGTCATATAGAGGGTTTCAGAGTTATCCCGTGATTCCGTGCGCGCCGCCATGTTGGTTGTCATTCGCGTCCCCAGCAACCATAGCGTCACTAGCAACTATCGTCTACGCATACGTCTGTCTGCTTCAGTCCGTCATCTAACCATCTGTCATGGAGAATTATGCAAACTTACTGGATAAAGCATCTCGCATACGATATATCGAGAAGACTATTGTGATAGACAACGAAGATCCGTACAGGATTCCCAGATCGGATTGGAGTGACGACCACAAGTATTTGCCGGCAACAAACTATGTCGACATCGTGAACTATCTGGTGTTCAGCCCTAGTCCTTTTTATAGTTTATCCGATATGAGAAACTATAGGAGTCTGGAAGCATATGACAGATTTGTGTGTGGTTGGGTACGAGACATCGTCTCATATGTGCATTTATCCGTCCAAGATGGAAAGGCCATTCATGTCGTGATGTCAAAAGTAAGTAAACAATAGTTTACCTACATCAACAAATGTGTTTGCAAATATACAATGATAATATTCTAAATATAACATAGGCTCTGTTTATGTAGCAGGGTTGCCACAGGTCAGGGAAAAGTCAGGGAAGAAATTATTTTTTCAAGATCAGGGAATTTTGTTACAAAAGTCAGTGAAAATTGAAGTTTTGGAAAAAAGTCAGGGAAAACTAGTTCTTTTCAAACTTCACTGAGGCAACGATTGTATGAATTTGAGTTCCATGTCTGTATTAAATGTGTTTTTGTATAGATATTGGTATTATCAACTTTAATTTACTTGTTTTGGCAGTGTCCATTTGTAGACATATTTTGGAATAACTTCCAAGGATGTTTGACACAGAAATGTGACCAAATATTCAATCTCAAGCTCTCTGCTGAACTTTTTATGTTTGGGTTTGACTCAAATACTGTCCCAGCTACTGTTTTGACCTCTTACTATCAATGTCTATGTTCTTTGTGTGTTTTTTTTGTTGAAAATGTCAGTATTTCTACCAGTAAGATTTCATACTATACAAAGTCACCCTTTTCCTGGAGGTGATCCTCAATCTTGCAACAGGGACTTTAAAATGAAAACATTGAAATTAAAAAAGAAAATCAAAACTTATGTGTCAGAGTTTGCCAGAGGTAATATTTCTGTGTCATACACTTCATCTTGATGTTAGATTGATCTCTGTGTTTGTTTGATTACTTTGTCTAAATATTTTACTTTGTCTTAAGTAAAATGGATAGAAAGGTCGGCTGTAGGGGGAGTTTGGAGGCCGAAATTTTATTTGTTTTCTTTTAATTTTGATCAGTGAAAAATCAAATTGGTCAGGGATAAGTCAGGGAAAGTATGGAGTTTGAACTTTCGTCATCTGTGGCAAACCTGTGTAGAGTACAGCAATATTTTAATTACCTTTACACTGATTTAACAGTAGAGATAATGTTGATACAAAATCCAAAATGTCTTTAGTGTGTTAATAAAATTTTGTACATACTAATTGCCTTCAGTGTGCTGCGATGAAAAGCCTTGGTTTAGTAAAACTGCCACATTTCAATCAATTTCTTAATATCATATAGCATTATGTCTGAACAAAAATTAATTCCTGCACTGTATTTTCACAGGTTATGCATTCCCAGCGCTTGAACGAAGCTCCATTGCAGCCCTGGTTTATCACTGATGACGCTGGCACAGTTTTATCAGCTCATTGTAACTGTATGGCGGGTTTGGGTGAATCATGCTCACATGTGGCAAGTATGATGTTTGCTGTTGAAGCTATTGTGAGATTAAGAGAAACCGCCACTGTCACACAGCAACCTGCATACTGGAAACTTCCAGCTTCTCTTAAAAGGTTAACTATGCATGTCTAAGAAAGATTGATTTCACCTCATCAAAGACTTTGAAAAGAAACTTGACCTGTTAATTGAGGGTTCTACGACATGTTCGACTTCATCAAGTGCTAAACATATCAAGGAGTTAAAACCTGCATCTACCGTCAGTTTTGACAATTTCCTTCGCACTATTAATGCAGATAAACCATCTTGTCTTGCGGTTCATAGTGATTACAGTGATCAGTATGTACCTGTACCATTACAACAACAATTTCCTCAAGTGATCACTGAACTATTTGATGAAAGTATGGTTGGCATCCCATACAATGATGTTTTACTACACTGTCACAACGTTATAAATCAACTAAACATTACAGCAGAGGAGGTTTCAGCAGTTGAAGCAGCAACAAGAAACCAAGCGTGTTCCCCAGTTTGGTTTCAGTTCAGGGCTGGCCGTATAACAGCATCAAAGATGAAGAGTGTCAATCGTACATCACTGTCTGACCCTTCGAGGAGTTTACTTCGCCACATCTGTTACCCGACTGAGGTCAAGTTTTCTAATCCAGCTACGAGATGGGGATGTAGCCATGAAGTAACAGCTAGGGACACCTATGAGAAATTGTCTTCTGAGCGTCACCATAACTTCAGTGTTGAGGAATGTGGCTTATTCCTCAGCTGTGAGTATCCACATCTTGGGGCAACTCCTGATGGTATTGTGGACTGTGGCTGTTGTGGAAGGGGCTGTCTTGAGATTAAGTGTCCATTCTGTGCAAAGGATGACTTTGTTGATAGTAACATAGTTTACTTAGAGGAGATTAATGGGTCACTGCAATTAAAAAGGGACAGTCAGTATTATTACCAGGTGCAAACACAGCTATTTGTAACTAATCATGATTACTGTGACTTTGTTGTTTGGACAAACAATGATATATTTGTGGAAAGAATTACACCTTGTATGGTATTTTGGAAACCAGTAGCTGATCATGCAATGCAGTTCTTCACATCCATTATTCTACCAGAGATTGTTGCACGTCATTTCTTGAACACATGTACAAGGGTTGCTGAAGAAAGAGTCGACAAGGAAGTGTTTTGTACATGCCAGAAGCCAGAAGATGGAAGGAGGTATATTGGCTGTGATGGGAAAGAATGTACAGTCAGATGGTTTCACTTCAAGTGTGTTGGTCTTGTGCGAAAACCGAAAGGGAAATGGTATTGTAAACACTGTTCTACAAATAACACAAGAAAGAAGCGGAAACACAATAGTGAAGAGTGATGTTTCATGAACAATATCTTATCAGTATAACTTTACTTATGTGTCTCAAGCCTCGCTGACACCAAGCAACTTGTTCTGTGTCTGTGATGACACACCACCTCTTTATTGAACTTGTTCTCAAAATGATATTGATGTCATATTTTGTTGGCACTACACCAAGGCCAACATAGAACAAAAATAATCACAGATAATGTTTCAGCACATTAAGAATAGTTTTATTACTATAATTGACAGATTGTACATTTGAGCAGTAACTCATAGACTTGTGTATGAAATATTTTCCATTGGTTTGTGAAATGGTCTATGACATCAATAGTTGCTGGGATAATTATGCAGCTGAATTATTGTGTGAAACAAAATATCAGTAAAGTCATTTGAATAAGATGTGACTTCACTTACAAATAATTTTGTGACATATGATCTGCTTGAATAATGACAACACATCACAGTGTTTGAAATAGCTACTTGCTGCTGCCTAGCTGATTGTGAATCGGGCCAGTAATATACTGTTAAAGCAAAGCTATCCCAACTGGTTCAGTATATCAGATAATTTGTTCTTTGTTTAATGTACATGAATATGATGAAGTCATTTATTAACATGATTAAGGTGTTAAAAGTCTGTCCTCAAAAGTTTAGTGATATATATTATCTCTTGCCACACGAAGATCACTATATAGAAAATGTTAACAGCATTGCGCAAAAGAAGTTAGGAACCATTACTACAATACAAATGTATTGTTTCAAAGGGTTGACAATAACCTACCATCTGTAATTACCAAGCATAATACCAGGCCTGACCAATGTGCATGCTGATATTGATATTTTGCAGGGCCTGTGAAGTATGATATGGGCAAGCGACAGTTTTACATAACTAGCCCTCCTTGCCAGTGACATTTTAAACTTAATTCAATCTGAACACATCTATGATCATTAATGATGAAGTTATCAAATAATACCTTTTTAAAACTTGGAGTGAACAACATTGATCATGGTCATGTTAGAAACATAGATTACATAATTTTCAGATAATAGTATATCAGATGCAAACTACAATGTGGTTCTAGTCGCCATTGAACATGTCAAGGTGGGTGTATCACCGAGTGCTAAATATGCCAACATTAAACACATTTGACCTTTCATTTATGTTTTTCATCTTTTGTAAGTCTCACAAGATATAAGTAGCCTTCACTCAAATGGAACAACTGATGGACACATGTTGGTAAGTGCACAGCAAACATGGACAAGCTTGTCAAGTAATGGATCAGTTTCATTATTCTTTGTCATTAGGTAATCAATGGGAATAGTGCTGCTGAGGATCATGTATTTTTGACGGACACTACCAATAACTCTTTCAACATGAATTCTTACATTGGCAATTTTTCTTGTTTCCTCTACTTCAGTGCCACTTAACTGTGGTTTACCTCGTGTAAATGCTGGAATCCTTAACTCCGCTCCTACAGAACCAATAATTTCTTGTATATCAAAGCCTCTATCTGCTAATACTATATCACCGTGGAGAAGATGATTGGTGAAATCACTATTATTTGTTAAATACTTATCACTAACACGACCTCCCCATCCCTCAGAAATGTAACTTACAGAACCTTGGGGAGTGATGCCAATAAGATATTTTACAGTATTATGATGCTTGTACGTTGACCATGTCTGGGTTCTAGCTGTCAAATTGGATGGTCTATCAATAAAAATCTCAAAACAGTCTATAATAACAGACACTCTGCGTCCAAAATACCTTCTGAATACCATTGGCATTGTTTTCCATAAATCCTCTCTATCTGGCCAGAACACAAGTTGTTTTAAGTTGATGTACAAGACATCCATAACCTGATTAAATGTCCTGAAATTGTAGCTTTGCTGACACCAAACCTGTAACTTAGGTCAAGAGTGGGTAAATTCAGTCTGAGTCTCATTAATGTAATAATTAACTTTTGAAACTTTGTCAGAGATGAATGTGAAGACTGACAAATTCCATATGATACAAGATTGAACAATGCAATTAGTGTTACAAACGAAGGCAGACCAGTATAATATCGTACTTTATCATCATCACCTTCAAAGTCTTCAGTATTATTTGCTTTCATTTTATGAACTATCTTCTTAAGTAGATTATTCTCATGTTTTAAAGATTCATTTTCTGACTTAAGAATGTCAATTTCAATTTTGCAACTTTTAAGTTCCTGTTCGGGTGTAATATCATGCTCTTGATCTACTGGTTCAGTGTCTGATTCTGCCTCACAAAGTTCCTCTTCAACTTCAAGATCAAACCGCAGGTTCCGGAGTCTTGATGCTTCCTTGCGCTCCTAAATGACAAAGAACACAAGTCCTTACAATAAACCTTATATATATGATGTAAATAATTTTTAAGATTGAGGGGAATATCTGTGTTACATACTACAGCAAAAAATCAATTAACCTTGCACCCCTCAATTTGACTTCTTTTGAATGTTCAAGGAATTTCAAAATGAACAGAAAGACAGAAACATTTCATTTAATTAAGTGTCACAAGTCAGTAACATATGAAATATACATACATAAAAAATATTAAACATGTTTAGGGACCCTTCATAAATTATGGCCAGGGGGGTGATGATGATTTTTATGGAGAACCATGAACAATGTGACTGGCACCCCTAAAATTTATGCACAAAGTAAGTGACCCCCCTCTGCATGTTGTGTACAAAATCAATTACCCCCCTTCCCATATTTTGTAAGCCTAATTATTAAATATTTCCATGTACAAAATTGCTGACCCCCCAAGAAATTTGTGTACAAAATTGCTGACCCCCCTACCTCCTCAGAACAAAATCAAAATGGGTGACCCCCCTTAAAATCATCACCATCACCCCCCAGCCATAAATTATGAACGGTCCCCTTACTTTACCTGCAGACGGGAGAAACGAGAACCCTTGTTGTCATTGTCAGCCTTGCCATAGCCAAGTTTCAAAGTTGGTATCCAATCGGGATGGGTGTCCTGATACAAGGCCGAAGGAGAACCTGAGAAGATTATTTGATTATTATCGTCATCATCACAATATTACACAATTATTGTCTTGTGGTGTTAACTGCATAACTGTACTGCAGTATGGAGGCATGCAGAGTTCAGGCATGTTCCTACTGTTAAATTATCGGTGACAGCCTCAATTTAGCCTGATATGTCACAGATCACCTGGACTATTTCATATATTGTGGCCTTATATAATTCAGCGAAGCGGGTTAAAATTCGTGTATTGAATTGATCATGTCGACGCAGAAACGAATAATTTCGTCACGCCAGAGCTGGTTTGGAAAGACAGATAATTCCTTCTATCGGTGTCATACTACTACTGACAGGATAACGAGTTTGATTAGTAAGACAACCGAACCTACTTTCGTATTACGCAGAGTTACCGGCCATAGCCACATATTGTACTTACCACCAACAAAATGATCGCTGCACACACGCATGTATTTGGTATCCTTGAATGCAAGATCCTCCCGATTGACAGCTGCAAACCACAAACGGCGCCGTTTCTGACTGAGATCTCTTTGTTTTCTCATCACTATTACTAATAATAGCTGGGAATCTGAAAAATCTCTTCTTGTCTCGGGTTGCACGATTACTACATTTAAACACCGCGCATGAAACGGGCATATCGGCATCAGGTGGAATATCGCACTTGTTTACTTTTCGCGCTTCCAAGGTTGACAACCAACATGGCGGCCGCGCACTGCATCATGGGCACTGAAACCCCTCTATCCCGCATGACACGAGTAGTTACGAATGCTCTTACGCCGTGATATTGCTGGAATATTGCTAAAAGCCGCGTAAACCCAAACTCACTCACTGGAATTCGTGGTTCGATCGCAGCACCGCCAATGTCTATTTCGAGCCCCACCTACTGACTAATCAGATTCCACCTCTCATGTCACATTCAACTGATTCAAATATAACGGCGGTGCTTATTAAGTCAAGACAACCTTATCGATATTCAATGTGTTATTGTAATAGCACAGGTCTTACCTCTCGAAGTGCATCAAATCACTAAAGCAAGTTGAATAAAAACATAAAACAAGTTGAAAGATATTTGTCGACGCCCGATGTGCAGTAAACATATTTTGCAAATCCTTCAAAAGACTCTGAAATCTACACGGCAGCCATCATGTTTACGACCCGGATGTCGATTTCTTGTTACGCAGTAGTTGATGCATAGAGTGCATTAATACAGCCAAAATACTATTCAGCAATTTCAGGCTGGTTACGCAAAGGGTGGAAATTGGAATTTTACAGTTAGTGAACTCCCCTTTGCCTCGAGAAGATGGCTTCATGGGTAAACCTAGATGATCATCGGCTCAGAAGTTGATTCAAACAAACCAAAACGTTCAAGCGCTCAAAGTTAAAAAGATAAGTGTTAAACTCCCGTTTAAAACACACACTTTATGGCTCACTTTTGGTGTTTTGCTTTTGAAGCACTGTCAACAATAGTTTGCCAAAATATGTTTTATGAATTACTTATTAAAACCAACAAAATGCCTGAAGATGCACTTTTCCTGAAACTGTGGCGTTTAAGAGCTTCCACATTAACCGCAGCCCATAAGCAGTTTTATGCTTCTTGTAATGTTGCATTTTACTAGTCATAGATGTGAAGTAAATACATGTATAATTGTAAACATATTTAAACTGTTAGGCAATTCCCACCCTTTGTCACTTCTGTGAGTTCACAGATCTTTTACGATTTCTGAAATATTTGCCTTAAAATGTTTCTTCAATTACGTTAAAACAATAAAGATAATGTAGTTGGCTGTCAGTTTTATTACGCCTGGGGGCCTGTGCTGCTGTTAAATTTAGAGGGGCCGTTCCAAAGATCTAATCCGATATTCCCTGCTGAGTGAGACAGGGAAGCAAAATTGGGACAGATATATAGCTACAGTGGTGCATATAAAGTTGTGTGGATTAAAATTAACAAAGTTTGGTGGAACTTCTCACAGAAAAAATAATTTCATTTGAATTTGATACCTGTTTGTTGGGTCAATGTGTAATTGTTCATAGAGTTAAGATAAACGTGCTGTTTGGAGATTGTCCCCATGGTGAAGCTCATGTTGGAAATCTCAACAATATGTACCTGAGATGACCCCTACTGTTTTCGACATCTGCTCGGTTAGGTTTCACGTGCATATGTCATCTCTCGTTACATCACGCCTTAAACGTGATCTGCGGCTGGTTAGGATGAGCACAAATCATTGGCGCATCATCAAAACTTGTGAAATAAAGTTGTTCGCTGGGACACTAACATAGGACATACCTACTCCCAACCCCGTAACACATATGGTGGAACTCAGATTTCAACGTTTCCTTGCTCGATCGGTGTAATATTTGACGTAATGCTTCATAAAGATCACACTACCATTTCTGCTGCTTCCGCGAAATCCTTCGTTAATAACTGTTTCTGTAATTAACGTAATAACTGTTTCTGTAATTAACGTAATAACTGTTTCTGGAATTAACGTAATAACTGCAGTCCTTCTTGACTTGATTTCCTTCACAACGTAAAATTTGGTACGGCTTCTCCGCGAATGTGACCTTGACCCTGACCCACATTAGCGGTGGCGGTAAGACATCTGCGAGTTGTATCAAGAAGACATTTGGCTCCTCGCAAGTCGAGTTAGTATATTGGTATTGGCGAGGAACGGCATGTGCGCGGTTGTTGGTAATGAGGAAATAAAGACCAACACGGTAGAGCCGGTGAACACTCAAAGGGACCTGCAAAATGGCGTTCGTACTCGCAGCCCGTGTGTAGAGAATGATGTGTCTAAT